GTTGCTTTGGAGACGCGTTGGCTGCATGCGCCCACCGTATGCACCATGAACCGAAACCGCGTTTTCCATGATATTATGCACGTGGTGTAGACCCACTCTACGGTGTGTGTACCTTGTGTTTCGCGCGGCTTGAATGTTGCCATGGACAAATGCGGAAAATGCGCCAAAATATTTCAAAAAGTCCTACGGAGGACCCAACGTAGGAAAGAGCTTTCCTACGGAAATCCGTAGAGAGATTTACGTATGAAAGTTGCCCTCGCTCCCCGGCGCGTACGACATACGGATTTTCATACGTAATTACGTAGAGCGAAACCTCCCTAATATTCTATAAACCTCAGACTCTGTGTTGTGAGTGAGAATACCGGCGCAAACAGGTGCAATGCAGTTGCAACCATAGAGGTGTCCAGCAACAAATGCTGTTGAGAGCTAAAAAGCGCAATGCTGCTATAGAGCTATACTGTAGGGTTCATAAACCGCGGAGTTAGTTGTATAATCCAGGAAAGGTGCGTGAACTGCAGGTAAGGTTAAAAGCTAAAAGTTGTATTTTTGGTTGGCGCCAGAAATTTCTGGCACCAACCAAAATGCAGAGCTTGTAAATGCTCTGCCGTATGATTGATCAGGGAGGGGCGGATGGGAGAGACGGGGCGCTCTGGCGGGATTTTACGGTATGTACATGAATAAAAATAATATGAATTTGGGACTACACAGTTGCAACAATGATGTACAAATGCCCTCTTGTGTACGCTCTCCAGCAAACCCTCTAGCGTACACACGAGGGCGTGAATTTTCGATCAAGCCCTTCGTTCGTACCATGCTTGATTCTACCAAGAGTACATAAAATGGGGGGGTTATGTACTCTTGATTCTACCAAGAGTAGTGTTTATCTACTCTTGATTCTACCAAGAGTACATAACCCCCCAGAGTGTGCAACTCCCACATACCCTGTTGTCCCGACAGAATTTCAAGTTGACGTCATTATTTATGACGCAATGCTCCTTGCAGCAGTGATTTACAACATGTGTACGGGTGTCAACGCATCACACGTTTTTCTTTGCAATAATTTGTACAGGATCGATCGGCTTCGGTCAACCACAGGTTCCGGATTCGTCTGATAATCCGTGTACAGTGCGCATTGCATCATCAAAATGACGTCAACTTGAAATTCTGTCGGGACAGCACCCATAGTGGAGTTGCACACTCTGGGGGGTTATGTACTCTTGATTCTACCAAGAGTACATGAAAACCAGAGTGTGCAGCTCGGATGGGTTGCTGTCACGGCGAAATTCCGTGATTACATCATTTTAGTGATGTAGTGCGTACAAGCAGGATTGGGGAGGACGGTTCGAACGCACCTACATTGATGTACGAGTATTCCACCCCCATGCGTCTTCGAACCGTTCCAACTCACTTGCTGCTACCTATGTCCGTCATGAAAAGGCTAAGCGTCGTGCGTATGAGCAGCGCCTGAGGGAGGTGGAGCATTCCAGCTTTGTCCCCGCCATCTTCTCTACCACCGGAGGCATGGGAAAGCATGGTGCTTCGCACTACAAACGCATCGCCCCTCTCCTTGCTGCCAAGACTGGGGAGCCATACAGCATTATAGCAATAAAAACTGCTTTATGGCAGTTTTCTAAAAAAAGTTATTGTGTTCTAGTCCATGGACCCCGTCTAAAAAAGTAAGAAATTAACGAAATGTGATAGCTGAAAATTAAAATTTCACACAAAACCTCACAATAATCACAACACTTGAAATGCTGCTTTCAACACTAAACTTGTACTGCACCAACAATTGGCAACATGCATGCATAGGAAAGAGGATCACGAGGGGAAAAGGTCTTCTGCATGTAGCTTTTCATTCTGTGTGTGATTATTGTGAGGTTTTGTGTGAAATAATAATTTTCAGCTATCACATTTCGTTAATTTCTTACTTTTTTAGACGGGGTCCATGGACTAGAACACAATAACTTTTTTTAGAAAACTGCCATAAAGCAGTTTTTATTGCTATAATTTCTTTTGTTTTTTCTGTCACCATGTACCAATCAATGGAATGCCCTATATCAATATGTAAATGATGGCCTTCACATCATATCAATACCATATTATACGCATTGATGTGCAAGCCTTTTCTTGCAGAAAATGGCACTAGCATAATGCATGTTCTTCTGCGGGGAAACATGTGAGCAGTGGTGGTGATACTTTTTTTTATACGGAGGCCATTCTGTGCATGTTGCTGTTGCAGAATTTCATGACTCTGTCATAAAATTGTCTTGCCTTTCAGATTTCTCCACCCTCAATCAGATTTATTTGAGAAATGTAGCCTTGCGCCAGGTGCGTGTCGCAGATGTTTTTGTTGATTCTGTGCTTATAATGGTTTATAGTCATGGGTTATCGTGAAAAGGTCTTCCAGCATCATATTGAAACTGAAATCGTAATCCTGTTGATGTCAATACAACTTTTGGAAGTAGTTCAATGACTTCAAACTGTTAGTCCACGATTGTCTAAAACAACACAGCAAAGGAGGAACAATAAACATGTATTAAAATGTAAACGAATACATTGCTGCGTCCAAAACCTCGTTCCAACAACTACACTGATCCTGAGGAGAAAAGGGGCAAGGCTATGGTTGGAGGTACTGAGAAACAAAGCACTCCACAATAATAAAATCTTACACATCTTTTGGTGAATATGAATGATATCCAGTCGAACCTCTTTAGGACGAACACCAAGGGAACGATGGTATTTATTCTCTGAGCTTAACCTACTTTACAACCAGAGAATAGAATTATATCTCCAATAGACATACGTGCACTTGGCCCGCGCAAACTACGAAAATGTGCAGAACGCAAAGTTCGTGCAAAAATTCGCACACACTTTCGCAAGGACTGTCGCGAAACTTCGTTAGAATTTTCGTTTTGCAGAACCTCTCCACTGAACCTTTCTTTAGCAACATGACGGCAACTGAAACAGCAACAGAGAAAGTACGATACATGTACTCCACATTCTTACAGGTACTACAAACAGATTGCAGATCGTAATTCTTGCTTTGGCGGCACGAAACTTTATTTGGGGCAGCGCAATCTCGACGGTACTCACAAATCAAACAGCCCAGACTTGAGTAAACAAATCCAATCATACAAGTACGAGATTTTCACGAGACGAGACTTCACCCATTGGCTTGTTTCGTATGAAACAAACAAGTTACTGAACCTCTCCACAATAGAGATTTCCCCTGATATGCGAATTTATTTTGCAAACTCGGTCAATTGGTACTTGAACCTTTCCCTCCAGATTGGGAACTGCCAACGATAGTATGCCACTGACCAGTACCTTACTTGTAACGAACCAATGTACAATGAATATGAGTATTTCGACAACACATCTAACATAAGCCTTACCGTCAAGAAGTTGAACTCGCGTTCTTCGCACACTGTAGACAAGGGCAAAGAGATAAAAATGGATCTAAATCCGAATAAAATCAGCACACGTTTCCGTAAATGAAAGGTGAACATAAGCGAATGAATCGAAGGAAACCGGTCAACTTAGAGATCACCTGTCATCGAGTATTCCGTAAAAGGAAGCCTCGCAGCTCGGCAGCAGGAAAGCAAAATTTAGAAAAGAGATCCTGTCAACTTTTCCATTATTAATTTTGTTGCATTCCGCCCCAAAATCAGCACACTTTTCCTGAATGAAAGAGTCAACACAAGCAAATGAATCAAAGGCAACTGGTCAACTCACCTGTCATTGAGTAATATTCCGCGAAAGGAGGTGTAAGCAGCGCCGAAACGAAATAAGCCAGGCCAGGAGACGAAATATCCGAAACAGCTCATGCAAGAAGCAGTTCCAAAGAAGGAAGTTCCTCGCGCATGCACATCCGAACACGGATCCGCGGACTAGACTGCATGCACTGAACACAATGTCTGCCGTGCACGTGCACAGCACACGGCTACCACGCGTTGGTAGATCTAATACCGAGCACCTTACGTAGAGACTTACGTAGCCTAAGTGAAATACCGAGCACCTTACGTAGAAACTTACGTAGCATAGCGATGTCATTTTTTCTGCCATGTGAACTATAATAGAAAAGCTGACAGGATCGCTTTTCTAAATCACCCTAGCTGCCATCCGCTGCCAGATTGGCTTTGCACTGGTCCGTTCAGCGCTGATGTGCTTGCGTGGTGCACGCAAGGCATTCTTACCAGCAATGGCCTCAGACTTGGCAGCGCTTGTTGTTGCTGAAGCAAGAATCTCAGCTTGAGGCTTACATTATTATTATTAGGGAGGTTTCGCTCTACGTAATTACGTATGAAAATCCGTATGTCGTACGCGCCGGGGAGCGAGGGCAACTTTCATACGTAAATCTCTCTACGGATTTCCGTAGGAAAGCTCTTTCCCACGTTGGGTCCTCCGTAGGGCTTTTTGAAATATTTTTTTCGCATTTTCCGGGTTTGTCCATGGCAACATTCAAGCCGCGCGAATCACAACGTACACACACCGTACACCACGTGCAAAATATCATGGAAAACGCGGTTTCGGTTCATGGTGCATACGGTTGGCGCATGCAGCCAATGCGTCTCCAAAGCAACAACGCATGTTGAGCAGTCGTGGAGAAATCACGTAGAGCGAAACCCAACAGCTCTGACTTTTTACGTGTGAAAATTCCGTGCAGTTCATACGTTATTTTCATACGTAATTCCGTAGAGCGAAACCTCCCTATTATCTGTCAAGTGTCATTAATGACATTGTACATGATCATCACCGCGTGCGCTCGATCTAATCATTGATTGTCTTTATTTTATGTTTTGCCCGTACAAGAGGCATGGTTTGAGTTAAAAAAAAAAAAAAAAAGCAGGATTCAAGCAGGTCCTTTTCTGCACAACTGCAGCTCATGCACAGTTGTACGCACTACGCCATTTCCCGCCTTAGATCTGCACTAAAATGATGTAATCACGGAATTTCGCCGTGACAGACACCCATACTGCCATGCATAGCAGAGAAGGCCCCAAGCTGCACACTCTGGTTTTCATGTACTCTTGATTCTACGCAACAAGTCATACTGATTGCATAAAATCGTTTTTACGCTTATACCCTTGTCTTCTTCTTCTCCGAAACTTGACTTGAAGCATATTTCTAGGCTTCCTCCTGTGTGTGGATCAGCACATCCGCAAGTCTTGTGAGCCTTTGCACCCCCGGTGAGTAATAAAATTGCGGGACGAGTTGTCCAAGGAAATTATTATTTGCTATACTTCTTGTCTTCTGGGTTTTTTTGTCGTGACACCCTGATTCTTCTTCCCGGTTTTGTCGGTTTGTTGTTTCCGAACCTCTTTGAATAGTGCAAGGCGTGACAGTCGCTGCAATCCTTCTTCCGTACGCGCACTGTTTCCATAGTCATGTCGGCGCTGCCAATGGTGAGTACAACGGCTACGAATTTGCGTTTTTAACGAACCACGGTTTCCACGAATGGTTGTTCCTTTTCCCGCGGTTCGGGTGAGACTTGGTTCGACCGTGTTTTGGTTGTGTTTTTGTTTGTTTGTTTTCTTTATTTTGATCAGCTAAAACCAAACGGGCAGAACTGTCCAGTGCTAGTGGCAAGGGAGCCAGTGGCGGGTTTAGGGGGGGGGGGGCGCGGGGGGCGCCCCCCCCCCCCCTCTCAACAATTTCGACCTAGGTTTCGAAAAATAAAAAGGCAGGGCGCCGGGTCTAGCTAGATAGGCTCGGGGCGCGCGCGCCCTGAAACGATTGTCCAAAAGCGGTTGCACGGTACGGTGCTCGAGCTGGTGTTGATTGTACACACTACAGACTACCGGTAGTACAGTACAGTACAGAGTAGAGTCTACGTACAGTGAGCATGCACGGCTACAGTCCAGAAACACGGTGACCTGACTGTGTACTGTTGTACAGCGTGATCCCTGCTGGGACGCGCTCGACGCGTCTTCAACGGTACAAACATCGAAGAAAAGTCTTCGATCGAGTCAACCAAAACACGATTCGAATGCCGAGGGCTCAGGCGATCATCCTCGTTCGAATCGTGTTTTGGTTGACTCGAAGGCTTTTCTTCGATGTCTCAGGGACATCCCAAAAGGCCAAGCTCTAGCCAGCAGAGCCTGGAATTTTTGTAAAGCGTTCCTGTCGTGGCGCAACTCCTGCTGCCGCTCCAACAGGAAACAGTGGGAGTGATGAAGTCGCTGTTATTCCAGTTGTACTTTCGGAGCGGATTGACAGTCACACTCCGCCAGACGTGGAAGAACCTGTTGTCAGCGAGCAGCCAGAACATGAAGAACAGCGCAAAGTCACAAGTACCGCTGCCTATGTAAAGGATGCTTTGAGAGCGGTGAGAAATTGTTGGACTCGCAAAAATAATTGCAGTTGATTCGCTCACATAACGGCAAATTTGAAGTTTACAATGTACATAGTCATTGTTGCTGCGTGTACAGAAATACTGCTCGTGGTGTGTGAGATGTACGGCTTGTTGTTGTTGTTGTTGTTGTTTATTTTACTTCACCAAATGAACAGGCAGAGATTCCTTCTCACCTGCCCATAGGACAGGTTCTCGCAGAATGATGAAGGGATGATATGCAAGGGAAAACAAGAAAATGATAATAATAATATAAGACAGAAAGGACCAAAAGAAGAAAAGGAAAAATTTAGATGAAGACAATTTCATGGAGTCAGAAATAGAAAGACAATAAGTTCATGGAGTCAAAGAATAGAAAGACAATTTCATGGAGTCAGGAACAAGTGGTTGATTTTATAGACATGCATGCACAAATGATTGATAGATGAGAAGGTTGGAATTTATGGCAGATAATAAAAGTTTAACGAGGATATTCACAAAGTAAGTATATCAATGGCAGAAAGAGCTTTTCGGAAGGGACCAGGGACACGTATCACTCTAAAATCAGAGGGGAGAGCGTTCCAGAGAATGCTTCCCCGAAACATCATGGTCGATCGTCCCGCAGGCCCACGATGAAAGGGAACTTGAAGCAAGGTCGACACTTGTCCCCGTGTGGTGCGCTGATCCTCCAGAACTCTAGGGCCGTTCGGGTGAATAACTGTTGAAGAAGGGGGCTACAGGAGGAGCTTCTTGACATCGGTTTTCAAAATGGCTGACCCATTGCGCGAAATCACGCGACACCTGTACATTTTCGATCTGCGGGATGAAGATGACGACGTCCATGCATCAGGTATCAGGGGGTAGTAAGATACTGGTATATTACTACTCCACGCCTCAAATCGTGCTGTCAAGCGTATGCGGGGGAGTGTAGCATGCCATCCCTTACACTTTCCAGCTCAGGGTTACCCTCGCTACCAATGGACGAAATTTCAGGGTCACAGCTTGCGCAACGGCTTTGTCCTGTGCGAATGGCCACTCGACATACTCAGCACAAATTTTCTATTGCATGCATGCACAAAATGTTCAACTTTCGTATTTCTGGCGACTTTACCACCGTCGTGGAGGCTGGTTGGTGAGGAGCAGGTAGCCATCCCTTGTGGAATCAAACACATGGTTCCACAGTGTGGCTGATTCCGCAAGAGCCAGGTCCATACGAGGAACATTCGCTTTGTCTTTTGCCATCGAAGTAAGTCACTTTTCTTGTTCTCAGTGTTTTTTACGTTCAACGTTTCTGAGATTTTTGAATTATTCACTTTTCATTCTTTCATACTTTATTTCTTCATGTTCACTGCCTCACTTGCCTTCTGATCTGGAGAATGTGACGGAGGTGACTGTTGGTTACTGCCTGGTATAACGGTTGTCGTGCTGTTGCTGTATTTCCGTCCTGCTCGCGACGTTGTAGATCACAAACAATTTGAAATCACATGAATTGTACTTACCGTCGTGCGTGCGGTATTAGGAAACACTGTGCAGATTAGATCGTCGCAATGTATCTATATGTGTGTCTGGTCATCCTGTGCCACGCAAGAACTCCAACCAGACGCATTCGTCCTCGGCCCTGCTGATCGATTGTCCACTCGTCTTTCCTTGAAGAACGATTGATCAAAAAAAATCGAGCTCGAGGACTTTTTGCAAAAAACGGCTGAAAAAAGGAAGAAAAAAGGGTGCTCAGAATGAGATTCGAGTACACAACCATGGTCCCAGCAGTTTATGTGGATGTCGCTCATAGATGCGCGATTTCGCGCAATGTGGGACAGTAGCATGATGTCATGTACCCCCACCCCATCCCGCCTTGATCCCGGCCGCAACCCCCCCCCCCCCCCCCTCAGCCAAATCCTGGACACGCCACTGGGAGCGAATGATGAACGTCATAACGATCCCCCAGATAGGCGTTAGCCTTTGGGCAATCCTGAAATAAAAGATTATTATTATTCACTATGCAGTCAAAACGTTTCCGGGCAAAATGAGCCAGACTACATTTTTGTAGAAGGAGGATTTGCAGAACGCTAGTACATAGAGGGGAGTACCAGAACAAAGCAACCAAGTCCAGAAATGTTGTTGTGCACCAAAACAGAGAGAGAGAGAGAGAGAGAGATTGAGAGAGAGTTTCCGTGTCCGTGGGAACACTACAGGTCTACTCTCCATATAACGTAATCTCTGGGACCATGCAAACATTATGTTATATCGAGAGGTATGTTATGTAGAAAACCGTGTGTAAAATACAAGATGCACCTCAAAATGGAGGGTATTACGAGGCGGGTTCAACCGTGCAAACATATACACACTGTACCACCATCGACATCAGATACATGTACCATCAATGCTGCAGAATATATGCACATACAGTCCATTCATCGGAAACTGGCCCGCTGGCTTTTGGAAGTCGGATTTGGGCTGAATTGAGGATCAAAAACCCACTTTAAATCTCAAAAATCTGGGTTTTGGATCTGCTTCTCCATACATTTTGCCATGGCATACCTGTCCTAATGTTGTAAAACCTGGCTGAATTTCTATTTCCCTGTTCTTGGACTTTTCTGCCCTCAAATGTGGCAAGGAGTAATTGCACGGGTCACACAATGCAGGACGTACTGTTGTTTTCACGATATCTACAACTATGTGAGAGAGACAACAAAAAGTTAAGGTACCAGTTTCCAATGAATGGACTGTAGGACTAAACTGGCTAGCTACGGCTATAGCTTGATTGTACTGCGCACGTGAATTTACGTTGTATCGAAATTGTAGGACTAAATTGGCCTAAACTGCCTAGCTACAGCTACCGCTTGATCATACCATGCACTTGAATTTATGTTGTATCGAGAGTGTGCACGTCGGGGACCGCCGTAGCGTGTGTTATGTCGAGGTTTATGTTATGTAGGATTATGACGTGTATGGGAATGATGCTGTTTCGGCTCGGGATTTGATTTTTTTATGTAATAAGGAGGTTTATGTACAAGTGAGAGTTGTTATATCGAGAGCAGACCTGTACCCGCTTGTACAATGTACAGTTGTGGCAAGTGAAATCCGACACTTGGCATAAGGGACTGCACCATGCAGTCTGCCGCCCGGCAGCCCCTGCATGCGTACAGTACATGTGTTACATACAACTTTATCTGTCTGATGACAAAACTCGTAATCATCACAGTCAAGGTTCAAAAGGTGCTGGGAAAAATGAATGGGCCCCGGGGATTGGATTCCAATACTCCTTATGTGTACCATACCTGTGAACTGTGTGTATCTACGCTGTGACCTGTCGATCTTTTTGGCATGCATGCGGCTCAATAGTACAAATTAGGTGCAGTGCATTACATTTTTGAAAATTTATTTTTTACTTTGTCACATAACCTCCTTGATGTCCATTTGTGGCGCTGTCTCCTATGGCATATGTCGGATTTCACTTCCCACCACTGTAGTTTTTATTGTATGAAACTCAATGTAAAGTCCGCGGCAAACCCCCACGCCATTTTTGCAAGATTATTATTATTATTATAGACAACACCTCATGGCATGAGAGGAAAATCAGCCAGTACGGGAGATGTGGGTGTTAACCCAACATGGTGAATAAAAGAAGAACAAGATTTGCTGGCTTGTGCGCACTTACTAGTCATAGCCCAAATTTGCTAGCAATTCTTCGAGCAAAATATCGGATGCGCAAGTTGCCAGCAAGTTTTGAGCAAAATATCGAGTTTTGGTAGGCTTTTCAGAAAACCCAAGGCTTCTCAGGGACTTTCTCAATGCAATCAGTCACCAAGGTTGAAAACAAGCACAAAAGTTGGACAAAACAGACTCATGGCCACATTTTTGTAAAAAGTTGAGCAGCAGCAGGAGCTCAATCAAAAATTCCCTCGTCATCAGCGAAAATTATCCTTGAGTTTTCCTTGAAACTCATTTTTCTCAAGCAAAATCAAAGCAAAATACCGACGGAAAAATGAAATGCCAAGCAGAATATCGAAAATTTTGTGGCAAAATTGTGCAGCAAAATATAGATGTGGGGTGAGCAAATTTGGGCCATGACTA